CCAATTCATGGCAACCCTGTAGGGTTACTGAGCCTACAAATCTTTACCGGAGCAGAAAATCTCATCTTTCTCCAAGAGTGCCTGGTGGACTTGAACTACTGACTTTGAGGGCAGCCATCCAGTGCTTAACCTACAGCGCCCCTAGTTGTTGTTGTTGTTATGTGCCGTGGAGTCGGTTCTGACTCATAGGGACCCTGTACAGGGTTTCTGAGGCTGTAAATCTTTAGGGGAACAGAAAGCCTCATCTTTCTCCCACGGAACAGCTGGTAGTTTCAAACTGCTGACCTTGTGGATCACAGCCCAATTCGTAACCACTACTCTACCAGAGCTCCTTACAGTGCCCCTAGAGTAAGGATAAATTCTGCCCTATCAGAATGTAAACTTGGATTAGGGGATGGAAAAGAACAAGGCGAATCGAAATGCTGAAGAGACACTTCTTATTGTTATTAAGCACTGTGGAGTGGGTTCCACTCATAGCGACCCTGTATCAGTTTCTGCAGTTCAAATGAACCTTGGGGTTCCAGTGCATTATCCTGGAGAGCCACACAAGAACGCCTAAAAGCCTACAAATGACTAGGAGGCCCTCAGGCTCTCAGAGAAGGGGGTTGGTTTCTTCCGGGCTTAACATCCAAATCCGGACTTGAGAAATGGGTTGCCAAGTTTAGCAAATATTTGGGAAATCTTATGTGAAAAAATTATTATTTGAAATTAAAATTTAAGTTTTATCTGGCAAATCTTGGAATTCTTCCTCTGTGGGCTAAAGATGATGTTGTTGTTAAGTGCTGTTGAATCAACAGCAATCCATCACCTTTGTCACCACGCCATTCAAGGACTCGAGTGGCTCCTGAGAGGTCGAATGCGTGAAAATCCTGGTACCTGCATGATAGGGACAAAGTCAGAGAGTGTACATCAGTTCACTGTCAAAGAATTCTGAGATAACAGCACGATTCAGTAGATAGGGGCGGAGGCTGTGGAGTCAGACCGACTTGGGACCACAGAATCTGGTCTTTAGATTCCCAGTCACTTAATCTTCCTAAAACTCGGTTTGTTGTTGTTGTAAAGTGCCGTCGAGTCGGTTTCGACTCAGCGACCCTGTATAGTTTCCGAGGAGCAGCTGGTGGGTTTGAACTGCTGCCCCAGTGGTTCACAGCCCGATGCTGAACCTATAGCGCCACATCACGTACTCATTTAAAATACCACCGACTTCCCAGGGCTGATGTGAGAAATCAATAGAACTTGTGTTCAGGCCTCAACTCACAGCCCGGCTCAAAAACAAAGTCACCTATTTTTACCATTCACAAACTCTGCTTCTGCTCTTACTACTTCCTCACTCATCCTGAGCACACACAAAGATGCCATTTTCCAGATTCCGGATGCGAGGCCTAGAGGAAATCCTCCACAACGGTTTAGCCTCGCCACCACCAAAGATTCGACCCACCCCAGATTTCCCTACGAGCCTCCGCCCCGCGCCCGTTCGCCCGTCAGACCCGCTCCGGCCCAGGCCCCGCCTCCCAACTCCACAAAACTTACAAGCGTAAGGACTCCACGAGCCAGTCCTCGCTGGCCTCCATAGCAACTGTCACTTCCGGCCTGCTACTTCCGCTTGCGAACCTTCCTGGAAGGCACGGCTCTCTCGCGAGGAGTGGGTGCGGCCTGCTCCGAGCCGGTGGGCGTGGTCTTCATTCAGAGGGTGGGGCGTTGAAGGATAGCCGAGCTCCGGGGCTGGGAGAGCTCCGAGGCTCTGGGCCAAAAGCTCTACGCAGATGACGTAGAATCTGGGATTTCCAAGATGTCAACTCCAGGCGGGCCCGAGGCACCATCTACCTGCCCGTTTTAAGACCAGGTGGTCGGCGGTTGAAACTCATCATCTGCTTCTCTGATACCCTATACAGGGTCGCTGTGAGTCGGAACCGACTCAGTGGCACTTAAACCTTTTTTAAAGGTAAAGGCACTTAAACTTAAAAAAAAAAAAAGTCGGAGACGGCTTGAGGGCACTTAACAACAATAATAACAATTCTTCAGCCCGGACTCCTGCTGTGGTGCTGTAGGATCAACAATGTACTGTGAGCCACGAAGTCAACAGTTCAAGCCCACCAGCTATACCTCAGAAACCCTATACAGCTATGAGTCGGAACCGACTCAACTGCACTTAACAACAGGAGTCCTGATGTGGCGCTGTGGGTTCATGTGCTGTACTGCAAGGTCGGTTTGAACCTCAAGGTCAGTGGTTCAAGCTCACCACCTGCTCCTTGGAAACCCTATACAGGCTCCCTGTGAGTCAGAATCTACTTGAAGGCACGTAAACAGCAACAGAATCAATTGAGTCAGAACTGATTCAACAGCACTTAACAACAACATCATCTTTAGCCCACAGAGGAAGAAGTCCAAGGTTGCCAGATAAAAGTTAAATTTTAATTTCAAATAATAATTTTTTCACATAAGATTTCCCAAATATTTGCTAAACTTGGCAGCCCTGCACAAGGTCAGTTAGGCGTTGGGCAGCTAACAGCAGGTCTGTGGTTCAAACCCTTCAGCCATTCCGTGGGAGAAAGATGAGGCAGTCTGCTCCCTTAAAGTCTCAGAAACCCTGAGGAGCAGTTTACTCCCCCCTTTGGGCTCACCGTGAGTTGGAACTGACTTGATGCTTGTGGGGTAGGTGTGCAAGGACAGGGAGTAAATTGGCAGAGAGCTGGCTTCTCGCCCCTGAATGTGCTGGGAACTTGCTTGCTGCAAAGCTTGACATGAGGATGAAATGAGGTTTGTGAAGCTCACAGTGTGCTCTAGGAAAGGGGCTGTATTGTTGCTTGGTACTGTCCCATCGGTTCCAACTCAGAGACCCTAGGCACAACACAAAACGCTGCTGCTCAGTCCTGCACCATTGTTACAATTATACGACACTTGAGCCCACTGCTCCTGCCACTGTGCCAACCCATCTCGTCGGGGCGGTGGGTCTTCCTCTTTTTCACTGATCCTCCACTTTACCTAGGCTGATGTCCTTCTCCAGGGACTGGTCCCTCCTGATAACATGTCCAAAGTATGAAAGATGAAACCTTACCGTCCTGGCTTCTAAGAAGCATTCTGGCTGTACTTCTGCCAACACAGATTTGTTTATTCTTGCTTGAGCCAGTAGGTGGCAGAGCTAGAGTAGAACCTAGCTTGTAGTTCAGGACCTGGCACACAACAGGTGTTGAGTATTTGCTCCCTGAGTGAGTGAATGAGTCAGTGTTAAGCTGGTGCTATGGAATGTTCTGGGCTTTTTAGAGCCAGCCTATTTCACTGAACACACAGCCCTCCGGTCTCCTTTCCCTCCCATTCCCTCAAACCGGACTAGAAAGAGAGGACCAGACATTCTATATAAAGAGCAGGGTTTTATTCACAACTTCAACAGGGAAGCAAGAAATAAAGCTGGAACATCATTTGTGTCTGAACAGGCGATATTCCTGGCAACTCCAACCAGAAATCACAGTAATGGAGTTGGAGAGTTCCGATCCCGGGATCTGCATCCAGATGCGGCCATTATCAGGGTGCCATTAGGCACCTTGCCTGGGAGGACACAGTTGAAGCTGTGGCGTTGTGTCTGTCCCATTATCTGCATCATTTCTGCAGTATGTGCACCAGCGGCCTCCTGTACTGGATAGAAACACATAGAGGGCATCCTGCCATTCCTAAGTGCTACCTTTCTTCAGAGGTGGGCACAGCAGGCTCTTAATTGAAGCAAGTACCCCATCATCTTTTGCCCCAAAGACCCTGGGAGGCGTAAGGGGCAGTGATTTTCTCAGAATAACAGCCCCAACCTCACAAGTGGTCATGACAATTCAAGGAGATCATGGAAGTCCAATAGTGCCTGGCCCTGGCCCAGGATCTGGCTGTCACTCCCCACTCTCAGCTCTGCTCCTGACACCACTCTAAAGCCTCCACAACCCAGGGTTGCATATTGCTTCCTCTGAGACTCTCTAGGCCAGCACGCCTTCATGATCAATAGCCTTAAAGGTGCCATCATCTCCCTTCAGGCTCAGCCAACCCTTACATCTGTGCATCAGGAGGGTCAGGGATGTTGGATGGGGCTGAGTTTGGTCTTCCTTAGGGAATCTTCCTCCACCCACCTCGGTTCTTTCAAAATTCATGCCGTATGTGCTGGGTATAGTGAGCAATACAAAGGGAAGTCAACAACAGGTACTGCCAGGGAGCACACAGATTGATAAGAGTGAACTTACCTCCCTTTTACTGAATGCTTTCTATGCACCAAGCACCACGTTAAGCAAATAACAAAAATGTTTTCATGTAATGAGAGCAAGGGCTATTGTTATCCTGGCTTTATGGATGAGGATGATGAACTTTGGAGAAATGAAATGAGGTTTCCAAGGTCACACGGCTAGTAAGAAGCAGCAGTGAGCTAGGAGCCCAGCATACTGCCGCCAAAGCCCACATTTAGTACCACTGTATTCTGCACACAGTAAGTACCAGAGAGGAAAGTGGATGGTGGAGAAACATCTGCAGCAGGGAGAAAAGCGCTACTGTTCTGCTAGGCAGGAAACTCAGGCTGGGTTTGGGACTTTGATTCAATAGTTCACAATCAAGGAACCAAGGGTGATTTTGCCCACCCTTGGTCTGGAGATGTTTTTGGTTGTCTGGAGAAATTTTTAGTTGTTTCAAATCAGGGGATGCTACTGTATCTTGTGGGTAGAGACCAAGGATATTGCTAAACGTTCTAAAATGCATAGGCCAGCCCCACAGTGCAAAACCCAGTCCAGAATGTCCAGCTTGCTGCCATAGGTCATGGAGGCAGCATGACTTAAGGGGATGAGCTAGGTCAAGGGGAGCAGTCTGGACTCTTTCTTGGCCATTAACCACAAATACTGACTCTTCTCTTCTCCTAAGAATCCCAGCTCTGGCCACAAGCACAAAGAAGATAAACCAAAGGGGGAGTTGGCTAACATAGGAAGTAGAGTGGACAGCTGGTGTTGGGAGGAAAATTCTGCTGCAAGTGGCTGGATAATCTGAGGCTGTGACTTCAGACTGGGGACTGGGTCAGAGTTGTTCCCTGGGGTTTGCTGGTGGGGAGGTCAGCATTCTTTTTTTAAATCATTCCCCTGTGAGCCCTGGGAGAGCCTGGGACGTTGGCTTTCATGATGCTCAGGTCAGTCATGCTCTAAACCCAGAACTCAGTGGTCATTCTCCGTGTGAATGAGCCAGGGGCAGCCTGAGCTGAGGCTCACCTGGGCGTGGGGTCCTCCACTGCCAACGCTCATGCCCAAAGCCTTCTTTAACTGGAGGATCCTGAACAGATCATGACTCAGCTGCTGTCGTTGGTCCCCCAGGGAGATGTGAGGAGTGGACCCCAGTGGGGACATGCTGAGGGGATCCAGACTCTTCTTGCCCATGAAGTGACCTGGAAAGGAGATGTCAGGGCACAAGAAAGTCGGAGTGCAGGACCCCACCCCCGCAGGAAAACTCCCCCTCTCTCGCACAAAGACCCCCTGGGTGGAAGGTGGAGAGGAGGGTGGGATGGCACAGGGCCCGAAAGAAACCCTGCCCAAGAGGAATGGGAAAGGACAGGGAAGGAAATAGAGAATGAAGAGGTATCTGGAAGGTCGGGTGCAGAAGGAAGACACAGCAGAGGGGCGATGAAGGCTCAGTACTCAGGGAGCCTTGCTAAAGGTCAGGGTACCAAGCTGAGTCGGAGCTAGAATCTGCAGCTAGCTCTGCTTTGAACTTCGCCAAGTCACCCATCGGTTTGAGTCTCACTTCCCCATCTAGTGAATTAGACAAACCTCGGAGTCCCCACCTGCAGTTACAAGGGGGTCCGTGGCTGAGTAGTGGTCAGATAGTTGGTAAGGAAACAGGGTCTACAGAGGGAGGTCCTCCAGGACTTACCGGTGGCCCAGAGGTTGCCCCGCGGTTGCACTCGGATCTTGTTGGCTCGGCTCCGGGGCTCGGGAAGGTCCCAGCTGAGAGGAGCGGCGCCGGCGGCGAGCAGAGAACAGAGCAGGAGGCCACCGAGCAGCCGAGCGCCCCCCGCCCGCCGGCTCATGGTTGTCCCCTGGGCGCTCCCGCGCACTTCCTCCCCAGCTCTTCCAGTGGCCCGGCTGCTCCTTCGAGTGTCTTGCGCGCGCCTTCCCTCCTTTTAAACCCGCGCCTCCAAGGGCGGAGCCTGCCTGAGCGCTCGCCCCGCAAGCCTTTGGCTAGGTATTCTGTCTGAGGCTCGCCACCTTTGGAGGGTCTGTCCGGGAGGGCTGCGGTCCCTCCCCAGAGCCCTGCACACCGCACGCCTGTCCCACACGTGAACACCGCTTCAGGGGCTCAGCCAAAGCCCACCAACTTCAGGCTGAGCGCCTGGCATAGGACAAAGCCGTCCCCCGGCCCTCCTTGCCACTCGCACCCGACTTGGGCCAGCAGGTTCTGTAGTGGTCTCACTTCTTTGAGCCTCTCTTCAAAGGGTAAAAGTGGGGGTAAGGAACCTTCTCCAATGTGACCCTCACATTTTGTGCCAGAAGCATCAGAGGGGCTCCATGAGATCCCCATCACCTTGGAAGAATCTGACCCTGTTCACTCACCGGCTAGTCTAGAAGTTACCCACGATGCGGTCTTGGCGCACAGTAAGTGCCGGGGATGATACTACAGAATAGTAAAAGATGGTGGAATAAGGATGCTACCACCAGCTGAAGGAGTTCTGCCTCTGTTATGAGCAGTTACCAGTCGGGCTGCTAACCTCAAAGGTTAGCAGTTCATAACTACCAAGTGTTCTGCGTGAGAAAGATGAGACTTTCTGCTCCCATAAAGATTTACAGCCTGGGAAACCTTATACAGGCCGCTGAGTCAGAACCGACTCCACAGCACACCACTACTACCTAGGAGTGCGGATTGTCAACCTTCTGGTAGTGAGCGCCTGGCCTCGGTTGGGCAGTAGGCAGACTTCTTCTGTCTCAGGGATTCAGGAATCCGTATACAAGGCATATAATCTTTCTAAACCTCAAACGGCAACAACCATGCTTAGCCCTCCGCCTCCCTCATGATGAGGACCTATTCAGCCTTCTCTTAGAAAGCAACAACTTCCGGATCGGTGGCATCACTTAATGATGAGGGCAAGATGCCCTGCTCCAGAACAATATTCCCTCCTCCAAACATTAGCTGGGACCTAGCCATCTACTTCTGAAAAGCAGAAATGGTCTGTGAAAACCTTATGGATGGCAGTAAATAGTGTCTGAGACATGAAGTACTGGAGACAAGCCCTTTAGTTTGAATGTGGGGAAGAGCTGCCTCCTCAGAGTTGAGTTGACCCTAAGGATGTGGATTGAGTAAAGCTTTCAGGACTTACATTTGATGATGTGGTATTTGAAAAGAAACAGCTGCAAACAACCATTAATAATCAGAACATGGAATGTATGAAGTATGAATCAAGGAATATTGGAAGTTGTCAAAATGAAATGGAATGCTTGAAGATGGATAGCCTAGGCATTAGTAATGGGCTGTTACTGGCCATTTTGAATTGGACAAATAACAACACTGTGCTGAAAATGACCAAGAACAGCACTGCATTCACTGTCAAAAAGAAACATTTCAAGATTTATCCTGAAATACAATGCTGTCAATTGATAGAATATCTGTGTGGCGCTGTAGGATCTGCTCTGGGCTGAAAATCACAAGTCAGTAGTTCAAATCCACCAGGTGCCCCTCAGAAACCTATATAGTGTTGCTATGACTCAGAACTAACTCAATGGCACTTAATAAAAACAAGAAGGGAGACCAGCTAAAACAACTACTATTCAAATTTACGGACAAACCACTAGTGCTAAAGATGAACAAATTGAAGATTTTTACCCACTTCTGTAGTCTGAAGCTTATCAAATGGGCAATCAAGCAACGTTGATAATTACTGGTGATTGGTATGCAAAAGTTGCAAACAAAAAAGGATCTGTAGTTGTACTATATAGCTTTGGTGATACAAATGATATAGGAGATTACAGGATAGCATTTTGTAAAGCCAACAATTTACTCAGTGGTAAAATATTTTTCAACAACATAAACAACTATACTCGTGGACCTCACCAGATGGAATTTTAGGAATCGAATCAACCATACCTGTGAAAAGAGATGACAGAGAAACTTACTATTATCAGTCAAAACAAGGCCAGAGGTAGAACAGACCACCAACTGGTCATAAGGAAGTTCAAGTTGAAGCTAAAGAAAATGAAACCAAGTTCACCAGGCCTGAGTCTGTTCCATCTGAATTTGGAGACCATCTCAAGAATAGATTTGAGATATGGAACACTATGTCTGAAGCCAGAAGGGTTGTGGGATGACATCAAGGGCATACACAAAGAAATCAAAGGCAAACAAGAAAAGACCAAAATGGATGTCAGAAGAGACTCTGAAACTTACTCTTGAATGTTGAGGAACTAAAGCAAATGGAAGACATGATAACGTAAATGAGCTGAAGAACAGATTTCAAAGGGCAGCTCAAGAAGACAAAGTCAAGTATTGTAATGAAATGTATAAAGACCTGGAGTTAGAAAACCAAAGGGAAGAACACACTTGGCATTTCTTACACTGAGAGAACTGAAGAAAAATAGTCAAACCTTAAGTGGTAATACTGAGGATTCTATGGGCCCAAAAGAAAACGACTTAGGAAGCATCAAAAGAAGATGGAAGGAATATGTAGAGTCACTGTACCAAAAAGAACTGGTCAGTGTTCACCACTTCAGGAGGTAGCATATGGTCAAGAACCATAGTATAGTACTGGAGGACGTTCAAGCTGCACTGAAGGCATTGGTGTAAAACAAGGCTCCAGGAATTAATGAATGTCAATTGAGATAGTCTAACAAACCAGTGCAATGCAGGAAGCGCTCACTCTATGCCAAGAAATTTGGAAGGCCTAGCCATTCCACTGGAAGAGATTCATATTTATGCCTATCTCAAAGAAATGATGCTAAAATTATTGAACAATATAATTAATATCACAAGAAGTAAAAATTTTCTAAATTAAAAAATGGTTCCAGCAGTATATCGACAGGGAACTGCTAGAAATTCAAGCTGGATTCAGAAGAGGACATGGAACAAGGGATATCACTGATGATATCAGATGGATCTTGGCTGAAAGTAGAGAATACCAGAGAGAAGTTTACCTGTATTTCATTGACTATGCAGAAGCATTCGATTGTGTGTGGACTGTCACAAATTGGGGATAATATTTCAAAGAATGGGAATTCCAGAACACTTAATTGTGCGCATGTGAAGCCTGTATATAGATGAAGAGGCAGTCATTAGAACAGAACATGGGATACTGCGTGGTATTAAACAGAAAAGTGTGTGTCATGGTTCTATCCTTTCATTATACTCAGTCTGTATGTTGAGCAAACAATCGGAGACACTAGACTATATGAAGAACAGCATCAGGATTCAGAAGACCTATTAACAACTTGTAATATGCAGATGGTACAAACTTGCTGAAAGCAGAGAGGACTTGAATCACTTTACTGATGAAAATCATAGTATGGATTGCACCACAACATAAAACAATCCTTACAACTGGACCAACAAGAAACAACATTCTGATAAACAGAGAAAAGACTGAAGACGGCAAGGATTCTTTTTACTTGGATCCACAATCAACACCCATGAAAAAAATTCCATCTTTGAATTCTATTATTCCACTTTTTAAACCCCCCTTTGAATACAATTTGCATTGGGCAAATCTGCTGCAAAAGACCTCTTTAAAGCAAAACATCACCTTTAGAATTTAGGTGTATCTGACCCAAACTCTGGCGTTTTCAGTCTCCTCATAGGCCATGTGAAAGCGGGACAGTGAGCATGGAAACTGAAGATTTGATGTCTTTGAATTCTGGTGTTGGGGAAGAATATTGACTACACCATGGACTACTAGGAGCATGAACAAATTTGTCCTGGAAGAAGTACTTCCAGAATGCTCCTTATAAGGGAAGATTTCTGTTTATGTACTTTGGCCGTGTAATCATGAATCAGTCTCTGAAGAAGGACATTGTGCTTGGTGAAGGGTCAGTGCAAAAACTCTCCACAAGATGGATTAACACAGTGGTTTTAACAAATGGGCTCAGACGCGATGGCCATTGTTCCTCTACTGTTCACAGACAGACTAAATGGCACCTAGGAACAGCAACGTTCCGAGCACCACGCTGAGCACAGGAGAGAAGACAACGATGACCCTCCAGTGGCATCACTAGAGCTCATGTTACCTCTTTGTGGTTGGGCTGGCTCGAGGCGCCCCCCTCCACCCCCCACCCCCGCCACCTCAGCTCCCAAGGCTGTTTCACCTCCTGTGAGGCCCGCCCTTCTCAGCAAACCCCCAACTTCCTTAGTTCTTACTCTTACCCATTGGCCAGGGTGCCCCCCATCCACTGGTGGGTGCTACAGCTTGCCTGCACCCTGGCTGGCAGGTATGCTTGGGAGGCGTGACGAGTTACCACACTGTGACGGGGTTGGTTGTGATGAGCTATCGCCTTGGGTGACGGATCACACCAACCCTAGTGACTCCCGGCCCAAACAGCGGATCCTGGGGTTATTTTGGTGTTAATTTCTCTTATTGTCAGGGGGTGTGACCCATACCCACCTCGTGGTGCCACTGTGACATTCCCTCCTTCCACAAATGATGGATGAGCTGGCAGCCGACCCCTGCCTGGAAGTCTAGTGTGGTTATGGCAGGACCTACTGCCCAGTCTGCTTTAATGGCAGCAGTTGCTATTACTCCTCCTCCATCTATGGAGCTCTGGGGTGGCGCTGTGGGCTAATGCGTCAGACTGCAGTCAGTTTGAACTGCAAGGTTGGTGGTTCAAGCTCACCAGCTGCTCCTCAGAAACCCTATACAGGGCCACTATGGGTCAGAACTGACTCGATGGCAAGGCATAACAACAACAACATCATCCATGGAGCTCAGGAAGGCCTACTAGTTCCATGGACAGGCATTTTGGGGAGGGAAGGCTTACACGAGAAGCTGGCTGTCATGCAGAGCTTCCAGGAGCATGACACTCAAGACAGGGATGCTCCATTTCTGACTCTGGA